GGTGGCTATGCTCCATGGAGAACAATGGCTGCTTTGGGCAGAGACCGGGTTTATCCAGTTTTGTCACTAACATCTATTGTAGTTTCACTTAGGTAAATAATAAAGTCGTTTCTATAGCCTCTTGGGCAGCGGCTGAGTTTCACTTAGTTTTATTAGGTTATGAGCCCTGGTGCGCAAAAGTTACGCAGGAAATAATTCTTATTTGAAACGGCAACCTCGGAACCATGACCACAGCATGCGATACATCCGCATGTCCAGTTCTCACTGGACCCAACAATTTTCAGATATGGAAACTCCGGATCATCTCAAAGCTACGTCGGGAAAATGTTCTCCGGTATGTTACTGGAGAGGAGCTTAAGCCCTCACCAGGAAAACCTACCTCCTCAGAGGATCCTGAGATCACCTGGATACTTAAGGATGAGAAGGCACATGGAATCATCCAGGACCACATCTCTGATGCCCTCCTAATGAGGACTGGAGACCTCACCAGCTCCAAGGAGTTATTTGATAAACTTGTCTCACTCCATCAAATGTCCAACATTGCCTCGGCCTTCTATTCATTCCAGCAACTCACCAAATTGTCCTGGGATGGGACATCACCTATCCAGGACCACATTGCGAAAATCTGGACAATTGATTCACACCTCTCCGAAATGAAACTAGGAGTTGATACCAAACTCATGGCTTTTGCTCTTCTCCAATCTCTCCCATGCACTCCTGAATGGCAAATATTTCAGTCATCAGTAATCAACACGATTGAAGAAAATAAACTTACCTTTGATGCAGTTGAGATCCGGATCACTGCAGAAGTTGCACGACAGTCAGGGAAGGCCCCTGGAGGTTCCGAATCAGCACTCAAATCCGAGGAGAAATGGTGTAACTTCCACAATGCCAAATCACACAACACCTCAGAGTGTCAAACACTTCAGTCAGCTGAAAAAGGTCAAAGGAAGAAGGAAAAGGAAAGACACAACGATAAAGGAAAAGAGAAGGAAAAGGCAAATACGGCGGAGCAATCATCTGGATCTGACTCCAAGGAGGAACAGAGTTATATTGCATTGGAACATGTACATATGTCCAAGCCCCTTGCTAAACACATTCAAGCTTACCTTGTGTCGGAACCTGATAAGACCAAAACAACAATTATTATTGACTCCGGAGCAACATCCCACATGGTCCCTCACCGCTCCTAGTTTGAGCCAGAAACATACCATGTTCTGCATCCTCTGAGGACAATCAGTTCTGGGGATGAATCCTCTGTAAATGCCATTGGCATTGGAACAGTAATCCTACAAGCAACTGTTGGCAAAAAGGACTACAATATTGCACTGTCAAATGTCTTACTTGTGCCAAACTTCACGTTAGCACTCGTCTCTGTCCACAAATTGTCCAAAACGGGGTTATCAACACTTTTTCCAGCAGGGTCAAATGCTTGTGAAGTTCGGAAAAAGGAGGAACTTATCCTTACTGCGTTACGCAAGGGAGGACTTTATCACATCCAAGCAAAACCCGAAATCAACCCGGAGTCAGCTTTTGCAGCAGTAGATGTAAATTTATTGCACAGGAGAATGGGACACATTGGAATAGACCGCTTGCAACGAATGGTTAAAAAAAGACAGCTCCAGGACATAGACACCCTTACCGGAACCCTGGGGTTTTGTGAACCTTGTGCTTTAGGAAAGATGAAGAAATTACCTTTTAAGTCCACTGGAGGAAACCGAGCCAAGCACCCCATACAAATTGTGCACACAAACATTGGAGGACCAATCAAACCAACTTCCAGGGAACATTTTCGGTACTGGATTATTATTGTAGATGATTTCTCCAAATTTCCATGGATATATTTCCTAAAACATAAAAGTGAAGCACTGGAACGATACAAGCAATGGAAAGAAGATGTCCAAACATTCTTCCGGACTCATTTGGGAGAAGAAAACTTCACTCCACTATACACAGAATTCCTCCGGAGCGATGGGGGAGGAGAATATATTGGCAATGCATTCAAAAATCAACTCTGAGGAGATGGTGTCATCCAAGAAACTACAGCTGCAGATACTCCGGAACAAAATGGCATTGCAGAACGCAGGAATCAGACATTGGCTACATTAGCAACCACTATGCTCCATGATTCCAAGCTCCCAAAGTCATTTTGGGTAGATGCCATGCAAACAGCTGCATATATCACAGCATGCAGCCCAGCATCAGGACTCCATGGAAAGACCCCATATGAAATACTGTTTAAAAGGAGAGTTGATCCAACTTTGTTTTGCCCTTTTGGATGCCAAGCATATGCCTTGATTCCGAAAGACAAAAGGCAAGGGAAGTTTTACTCCAAGGGGCGCAAAGCCATAATGATTGGCTACACACATGGAAAGCAAGCCTACAAACTCCTAGATACTGAAAAACGGACTGTGTTTTCCAGTCGGCATGTCATATTCAATGAATCTGGAAAGGTACAAAAGGATGACACTGCTCCCTGGAACACAGACACTAGCACAGATCAGTGGGAGGGACTCATTCCAGAGAATGCTCACTATCCAGACCAAAAATAATTGGAGGAGGATGATCCTGACCCTCGGATCCGAGATCCAAATGAATTGCAAATGGAACCACATCTCCGAGGAGATGTTCCACAAGCAATGGAACCATATCAGCATGAAGATGTTCCGAGAGCAGTGGGGCAATACCTCCGTGGAGACATTCCAAGAGCAGTGGGAGCACCTGATCAGCTAAGACACCCTCCACAACAGTCTCTACAACCAAGACCTGAACACTGGCCATCTTCAGAACGGAAAGCCAAAGTAGAGTTACAGTCAGTGGGAGGACAGCCCCTCAACATACAGCCAGCTGATGTGGAAAAAGTCCGAATACAGCTAGACAGCCTGTCCATTGGATTAGCTTCTGGAAGGCATACAACACCTCCAAGGAGTCATCCAACGCCTCCGAGGAGTGATTCAACACCTTCAGGAGTGAGTGGGGCAACAAATACACAAATGCGTCTACTCCCTGGAGTACCTGCACAAGTTCCTAAAAGAGCAGTCATGCCTGCTGAAGTCCTAGGAGTACGCAGAAGCAGTCACCAGACCCGTCCTGCAGACAATAACCGAGATTATCAAAGGACTCTAGATGAGGAACAGTCTCGAAAAGAGCAGCATGACAACTCCATGGAGAAACCTAACACTCCTGAGGTTCATGAAGAAACATCTGATACAGAGGAGACATTCTTTGCTGGAATAGCAAGTACCGGTCCATCTAACACAGACCTTCTAAGGACACTAAAGGAAGCCTTATCACGTCCGAATGAAGAATTAT